ATTTGGAGATTCGTATGCAGAATTTAACACTTAGCAAAAATAAGCAGATGAAAATTTTGCCCCGTTTTTTTGGCCATTATTTCTAGTGTTTGCACTAGAGACGGATGAAAAATAATATTTTCCGTAATAAAGAATGTTGTTTTTAGAAGTCTAGTGATTTTTGAGATAAAAATTATTAGGTGACCTCACATGCAAAAATGCCCAAAGGCTGCTAAAATTGCAAAGAAATGAGAAATTCTAGATATTAAGAACATGTAGCAAGGCGGAATCATTAAAGAAATTAGAGAGGATGAAAAAAGAGCCAACTTTGAACCAAAACACACAAATTGGTTTCGAATCGTTTTCCACATAAGGAACATTCATCTCCCACTCTAGTTCAAGATCCTTTTTCAGATTGTGCAAATGACAGCAGCAACTTAAATAATTACACATTCCTTAGAATGGGCAATATCAGCTTTAGGAAGAAAAAGAAAGGTGTCTTTGGAGCTGGGACAAGGCAGCAGATTTTCATTGTTTACTCCAGCATTTCATAAGCAGTTTCCTTTGTCAGGCAACAATTGATGTGCCATGCATCATTAAAGAATGAACCGATTTATAAATAGCATGAATACAAGGAGAACCCCATTGTTCTTCTTTGTGCTGGTAAATACGAGACATGCCAGATAAGACTTCTCTGAAGTGGGTTTCAAATTCCCCTACTAAATTTAAGGCCTTCCATCAGCCAGCTTGGCTGGAGAAATGGCACCTTCAGTGTCTGGCCCCACCAGGCCACCCTTTTTCCTCTCCAATGGGATGATGAGTGACACCACACCCCTGCAGCAGCACCCAGCCCAAGGGATGCAGCCCAAGGGATGGGACACAGCCTGGGCCGAGACAAACAGCTCCACCTCAGCTATTTACACCAGGCAATCCCAGGTTTATGGCCATGGCTGAAGTTCCTAATGACTCAAGGCAAAATGTCCTGTGATTGTCTTTCCAGGAGGCCAGAGCCATTCACTCTGCCTTTCTTCATTAACTTCCACATCTTTACTAAGCACTGTCTGAAATCCCCACATCTTGCCCAAATAAAGAACACTTCCCCAGCTCAGAAGGCCAAGATTCCCAACAGTGTCAATCATGAAATACTCACAAGATGAAGCTACAAGTGCACAAGCACAAAAGAAAACCCAGTGTCTCATTTCTCCCCTGTCTGCAAATGAAGAAAATCCCTTCTCTTTTAAGAGGATATTAACATTGCCAAGCAAAAAGCTCTAGCAGGACCACAGATCTGCCTCTCCAAGTATTTCCATTTTTAAATCAATAAATCTTTCATCTGAGTACCCTTTCCTCATTTACACCCTTCTCCTCCCTTCCTTGGGAGCTATGAACCTATTTAAAGTGCATTAAAGATGCTGAACTGAACAAGGAGTTCCCCTCCCAAGGTGTTATCCCCTCTCAGTGGGTGGAGATGATATATACATCACCATAAATGATACACACAGGGACGAGTAGTTCCTAGCAAACCCCTCAAGGAAGCCACCCACTGAAGGGTTAAACATGCAAACTGGAGATCCCGTCTAATTCCTCTTAATCCCTGGTAACACAGCACAGAAGATGAGGTATTGTTCCTGTTGTTGCTGCCAGACACAAACCAGGGTGCAGCACATAGCCACCCAAAATATCACTCAGCACAGGGTCGTTGTGCGGGGATTGGTCCTGTGAGGTGTGCAAGTGATGCCAGCAGGCATTAGTCATTCCATATTAAATATAAAATCATATTAAATATAAAATATAAAAGCGTGGTGGTGAAACCCTCAGCCCTGCCCAAAAGGTTGAGAGAGAATTTGTGTTGGAAAGCCAAGAGAAAGGAGTTTAGCTGAGGGGTTTTTTCCTAAGAGAAACATTTAAAAGGTATAGAATGGCAAACTGAAGGGACCCCTTTAGGAGGACACCTACATCGTTCTTTTTCACATGAGATCAACAGTGATGATTGTACTAACTTCATGATTAATACAACAGGGGGAAAAGCCAAGACTGATCACAAAACACATTAACACAATGTCAAATTACCTGGTTTGTGAATGTAGATTACAAACAGGATAAAAATCCAAAATTAAATTACAAAACAAGCTTTCAGATTCAACGACTACCATCCAAAATTACACCATCTAACTGTAAAATATACTGGAACAAGCACTTGCATTTTCTTGACAAATCTCAAATACCTGGTACTTGAAGAAAGCTTCACTTCACCACTTGCACTTTCCTGATACACACCCCACCACCACCACCTTTTTCTCCATATAGTAATAACAAACACAGAAACACACACAAGGTAAAAGCTAGTGCTAAGAAAAAAGCCACAGATTGTAAACAAACCCCTTTGTTTCCTAAAATTTTGTTGTTACTTTACTGAAAATAGCTCTTCAATGTCAAGGCATGTCAGCTGTGTTGGGTTCAGCAAGGGATCCCTCACAGTCCTGTGCAAAGTTCTGCCCTTGGACACTCTGTTCATAAAGCACCTACATAGAACCCTGGCAGCTGTGCAGTCAGTGGGTCTTTAGTCTGATCCCGTAGGGCAAACCCCAGGAATGGGTGAGAAATATTGGAAAGATACTTTCTTCTTCAGTTAGGGCACTAGGTGGATCTTTTCCATATTTCTGCTATTATTTTAAAAGATAAATAGAATAAATTAGTGACAGAATTTAGGGGGGGGGAGGGGTGTGAAATCACACCACTTCCCAAGGACAAGGGTTAATTCACTTCTAGAGCAAGTGGTTTCACGCAAGCCTGCTCCTCTTTTATGCTGTCTGCTGGCAAGACAAAGCCGGGTCACTGTTTGGAAACTGTAAATATCTCTGTTTCACACCAGGTATCTGTCACCCTGGAGTCTGTATGAGACAAAAGATCTATTAACTTCCTTACTCCCGCTGCTCTCCTCGCCAGGCTCAGACAGCAAGTTTAGCACCGGGCAGCTCCCCATGCTCAGTGGCTCACTCCCATGCCAAGGTGCAATTAAGATGATTTCTGGCATCAGGGCAGAGAGCGTAGCTGGCAATGAAGAATAATCATGTAGATATTGTTAAGAATATCCCATTACCATTTTTCCCTTTGCTTCAACCATAACGAGACACAAAACCCAATCTTCATAAAAGAAGGAAAAAAGAATATACGATAGTCACGCTTTTCCCCCACCAAAAAAAACCACCCAAGAAAATCCAAACTAAAACCAACAAAAACAAATAGAAAAAAATATACAAATATGTGGGAAAAAAGCTGTGTGGCTTATTCAGCACCCACTGACAGCTTGCACACAGAATGTCACTGCAGTAGTTCTTGTGTTGGACAGCAAAAGCCTTCCAGAGAAATCCCATCAGTTAACAGGAAGACTGCATATGGTTATGTTTTTGAAAGTTGAAAGCTGATTATAATTTATAATACATTTATAAAGAAGCACAGTAAGCTAATTACATTTGGGAGAAGACACATTTTAGAGGCTATAAAGATATAACCAGTAATAGGCAATTCTAACTCACAATTATGCCTCTCAGTGTTCTTTACAGAATAAAACATTTGCTTGTGATTTCAGACATGGTTTGCATTCAACAATGTAAAAGTTGTTTGAAGTTTCAATGGTTGTTCTCTTCCCTGCTCAGCAAATACTCATGTATTTTACAACATGTAAGAATATTACAGCCATAGGGCTGGGTCTCCTATGAGTCCTTCTTCCCCAGACAAGAAACTATTTGCTCTAACTCAGAGCTGAAGGGTCATGATCCAAGTGCCCAATGACAAAGGCCTGACCCTCAAAACAACTTTCTGTCAAGAAAATAAATGACACAATAGTAAGGATAAAGCTGTAAAGGTGTGTCTTTTACAAATTGTTAGCAGGGGTACAAAGACCTGCACAACAGGAATATTCTCACAAAAACAGCATTATTTAAACCAGCAGTACTACTAAAACAGCTCTTTTTCCAATATGCTACTGTTGGTCAAAACGTGGCCATCAGCAGCACACTGCACACACACCGGGACGGGATCACATCCCTGAGATGGAGCAGTGCTCAAATTCCCTGACAACCACTTCAGAGAGGATCTGTCACAGCCAGCATAGGAGAGCAAAGTTACACACCTACACAGATCATCCTTAACCTGCAGAAGAAATAACAAAAGCAGCTGTGAAGAGGAAAAAATCCACAGCTGTCAAGTAAGAACTGGCGATACCACTTTTGCTAAAATCAAACAAAAAAAGCCCCCCAAAGCTGCAAGGCACCACAATATCAAAACTAGGACTTAATTCCCAGAAGGAAGCATGGCTGTGGGATCTGTAGGGCCACGCAGTACTGAGTATGCTCAGCCAGAGAGGGAAATGGTTGAACCACTCACTACACACTACCACCATCCTCTGCTGGCTGACCCACTCAGCAGTGCCAGCCCCAAATTTCCAGGAATGGCAAGTCAAAGGCTCATGAAGGCAGCTCCAGGAGAGGCTGCAACTTCAAGCAAACACAAGACTCCTTTTCACACCTGGCTTCTCGGTATTACCGCAGAAGACAGCAGGAAGAGCGTGAATGATCAGCTCTGTGACTGAAGGCAGAGCAAGTAAACCACTCCTACTTCACAGACAATGCTCCAAACCTGGTTTCCACCCTTTGCTTTTCAAGCTAGTCAGGCAGAAAACCTTTAAAGACCCTTCAGTCAAGGCAAATGGCTTTGTGATAATGGATGTTTCCAGCTAAAATGTTACACTTTTACCAGCTGTCACATCCAAGAAGAGAAACAAAGCCCTTTTCATACTCATGGGTGAGTTAGGTAAAAAAGTAACCTAAATTGGAGGTGTGTGAGGAGACCTGTCATCCCAGGGACCTAGCCAGACAGGGATGGCAAGAACTTGCAGGAGCTGTTCAGAGCCAATTCTCCTGTCCAAGACTGACACCACGACTTCAGTGAAAAACCAGTCACAGTCCTGGAATTACACAGGAGTACAAGGACAAAGAAACAACAACCGAATAAAACCTTACCTCTGCTCGCTGCGTGCGGGGCAAAACGGACGACTTTTCAATGGCGTAAACATCCACCAGGTAGAGCCGTGCTCCCTGCTCCCTGTCCAGGATGGCAGCGGTCTGGATGACCCCGGTGTGGCGCCCGATGGTGAAGAGGCGCCCGAGGCTCCGGTCGTCGCACCGAACGGACACGATGTAATATTCCACCTGCGCCTCGGAGCCCCGCGGGCTCGCCGCCTCCAGGGATATCACGTTCGTCCCGATGGGCTCGCCCTCCTTCAGGATGGTGATGTATTTGGGCTGAGTGAAAACAGGCCCATCGACCCCTTGCAGAATTATAGTCATCTCAGTGGTGGATCTTCTCCTCTCGGGGCCCAGGTCGGTGGCGGAAACTATGAGGTTGTAGATGAGCTGAGAAGGCACCAACGCTGAGGCTACTCTTAAATCTCCGCTGTAGCGATCCACGATGAAGGTTTCGGTGTCTCCATTGACTATCTCATACTCCACCTCTCCATTGGCACCCTCGTCAGGATCCGCAGCCATGATGGTGGTTAGGACTGAACCGATCACAACCGAGGGGTCGGCCGCCAGGGCGTTCTGCGATACGAACACGGGGACGTTGTCGTTTTGATCCGTCACCAGGACGGTCACGTTCTTGAGAGCAAACCGCCTGGACTCCACGGGAACGGCCTGGTCGGTGGCTTTGACTGTTAACTCAAAGAGATTGGCAAACTCCCGATCGATCTCAGCATTGGTAAATATTGTCCCCCTCACCTCATCTATACGGAAGTGATTCCCCCTTGGCATCTGCTGGATGATCGCATAGGTTAGCTGCCCGTTAATATCCGCGTCCGGATCGTGAGCAGTCACGGAAATGACAGAGCTACCCACGGGAACGTTCTCAACAATTGACTTAAAGATGTCTCCCGGAGGAAAATGAGGAGGGTTATCATTGAAATCCCTAACGTGTATCACCACTGACATCGTAGAGGACCGCGGGGGCCTTCCTTGGTCTTTTGCTGTTATATTTAGCTTGTACAGAGACTGTGTCTCAAAGTCCAGTTTCTTGGCGAGAAAAATACTCCCGGTGTTGGGACTGATGCTGAAGGTCCCGTGATTGTTTGTCCCTGTAATGCTGTAGTGGAGGTCGGCGTTGTCACCTGAATCAGAATCAGTGGCAGTGACAGATGACACAAGTTCACCAACCCTCATATTTTCTAAGACATCCACTAACAAGGTTGATTTCGGGAAGGAAGGGCTGTTGTCATTTTCATCCAATACATCAATGCTCAACATGCAAGTTGAACTTAGGGAAACAGCTCCAGAGTCCACTGCTTGGATGACAAGGGAATACGAGGCAGTAGTCTCATGATCTAGTCTGCCTACTAAGGTCACCTGGCCTGTGCTGCTGTCTATTGCAAACTGATTTTCTTCATTTCCCTTGATTACAGAGTAGTGAATCAACCCGTTAACCCCCTCATCAACATCTGAGGCAGAAACTCTTAGGACCTGTGTCAGATTCACTGCCAATTCTGATATAGTAGCTTGGTAAAGATCTTTCAAAAATTTGGGGGCATTATCATTGATGTCTTTCATATAGATCTGTACAGTTGCCTGATCCTTCAGAGGCTTTGGCAACCCCTGATCTGTTGCTATGACTGTCAGACTAAACACTGCAGCTCCCCTCTGTCTCATGAGAGCTTCTCTGTCAAACTGATGAGTGCTTCTGATCTCCCCAGTTACTGTGTTCAGCTCAAAATCCGGCTGCATGTGCTCAAATGAATACCTGACCTCACCGTTCGGCCCGAAGTCCTTATCTACAGCATTTATTTTACCCACATACAACCCGCCTCTCTGCTCCTCTTCAAAGTAGAACACATAGTTGGTGCTGTTGAACAGGGGCCTGTTGTCATTCACATCCTCCAGAATCACGGTAACGTTCACAGTGGCATTGAGTGGTTCTACTGCTCTATCAGAAGCAACAACCAGTAAAACATATCTTTCCTGAAGTTCACGGTCCAGTTCACTCTTTATATACAGCTGACCATCTGGGAATATGCCAAAGGCATCCCCAGCATTTCCTTCAATTATACTGTAAGCAATTTCACCGTTCACTCCCGAGTCTTTGTCAGAAGCCTGTACCTTAAAGAACCTGGAATTCACGGGCTCTGACTCCAAGATAGTAATCTCATAGGAAAGCTGGTCAAACACCGGCGGGTTATCATTCACATCATGGACAGAGACAGTCAGGATAAAATTGGAGGACAGCTGAGGCACCCCCATATCCGAGGCCAGGATTTCAACCTGGTAAGACCCAGCGTTTATGTCAAGCGGCCCCGTTAAGCTTATAGCACCGGTTTCTTCATTGATTGAGAACAAGCCCTTTGGGTTTTGCTTAAGGCTGTAAAGGACCACGCCATTAACACCTTCGTCGGGATCAAGAGCTTTGGCCTGGAATATGGTATGCCCAGCCTTCCAGTTCTCAACAACATTTACACTTTCCACCACGTGAACGAAGTGTGGGGAATTGTCATTTAAATCTTTGACAGTTATATTGACCACAGCATCCCCAGTTATCGCCCCACCTCTAGCAACCACCTTCAGCTGGTAAAATGCTTGCTCCTCCCTGTCAATAATACTGGCTGTGGTGATCCGCCCCGTCGCCCTGTTGATGGCAAACACGCCCCTCTGGTCACCCGTCGTAATGAGGTAACTGATGTTGGTGTTGAGGTCCATGGTGGAAGCAAAAACGGTGCCTACGTGGTAACCCATGGCAACGTTCTCAAAAACGACAAAACTGTACGTGCCCTGGCTGAAAACAGGGGGGTTGTCCTGTGTGTCCAACACAGTGATGGTGACAATGGCTTGGTTCTGCGACTGAAGGTGGCCACCGTCAGTGGCCACGATCTGCAACTGGTAAGCAGTTTTCTCCTCCCTGTCGAGGGCTATTTTTGTTGTGATGACCCCTGTCTGCCCGTGGACCTGAAACCTGGAGGTATCTCCAGCTGAGATGCTGTACTTGACCGTCCCATTGGGTCCCAGGTCGGGGTCCGTGGCAGACACGGTGGTCACGTAGGTTCCGGCTGGCTCGTTCTCTTGGATGTGGGCAAAATACTGAACGGGGTAAAACACGGGGCTATTGTCATTCACATCCAGGATGGTCACGTTAACTCGGGCTAGCGACGAAAGGGGAGGAGAGCCCAAATCAGTGGCCAAGACCTGCAAGGAGAAGTGAGACTGCTCCTCCCGGTCCAGCTGCGAGACGGTGCTGAGCTTGCCTGAAACCGGGTCCAGGCGAAACATCTGGCGAGGGGTCACCGAGGAGGAGGGGCCGACCGCCGCCAGCGCCGGCTCGGCTTCCTGCAGGGAGAAGCGGACGGTCCCGTTGTCCCCCAGGTCCCCATCGGTGGCACTTAGGACGAGCAGCTCGGTTCCCGATGGCGAGTTTTCAGCCAGGGACACCTGGTAACCCTCAGGCTGACCGAAGCGAGGCTTGTTGTCGTTGACGTCCAGGACGGTCACCACCAGCTGCGCGTAGGAGAATTTGGGCTGCACCCCCTGGTCACGGGCGCTGACGTTGAGCACCACCTGAGAAGCAGTCTCCCGGTCCAGCCCGCCGGAGCTGGACGTGCCTGCAGCGTGCCCGGCCGTGCCACCCTCGGGGACGGCCGTGGTGACCAGCCCGCTGTGCTGGCTGATGCGGAACCAGCCCAGCTCGTTGCCCGAGACGATGCTGTACTTGAGGTTGGCGTTGAGGCCCGAGTCGCGGTCCGTGGCGCTGAGGCCCCGCACGTAGCTGCCCAGGGGCACGTCCTCGCTGATGTTCACCCTGTACACCGACTGCCCGAAGACGGGCGGGTGGTCATTGATGTCGTTCACGAAGATCACCAGGCTGGCTACCGAGGAGCGGCTCACGGGAGCTGCCACCGCCCCGTCGGGGGAGAAGACGGAGGTGGGGGAGCCTGGGGGCGGCGGCGGGGCCCCGTAGTTATCCGCCACCGCCACGGTAAGGTTATAAGCCGGGATGCGCTCCCGGTCCAGCGCGGCCGCTACCTTGATGAGGCTGAGGTTGGGTACCTTACTGCTGTGCACCTCGAAGTGCCGCTGCTCGTTTCCCGCCAGGATGGACACGGAGATGTTCCCGTTGGCCGCGGGAGAGTCGGCATCGCTCACCGTCAGCAGGGCCACCACCGTGCCGGGGGCCGCGTTCTCATCCACGGAGGCAAAGCGGGAGGTGGCCGGGAAGTAGCGGAACTTCACCCGGGGCTCGTTGTCGTTGACGTCGAGC